ATGTATATCGTGCGTATGTAAGACGGAAACAAAAAAATGCATATTGTGTACACATGAGTTGCGTCCCGTACATGGGCGTCCCCAGACATTTTTCTAGGGGGAGGGGGCAAAATTAATTTAAAAAATAAATGAAAATTTTTTATACATTTTAATTGTAGTAGGTATATTATTATATTTTGTCATTATTACAATTAAAACACTACAATTAGATATTATTATAATACATTAGTCTTTTTCATTAAATATAAATTTAAATCTCCGTGGACTCCCGTAAAAACAGGTATACACGAATTGCGTCTTAAAAAATCCAGGACGCAATTCGTATATTTTAATCGGGGGTTCTTAAACTAAAATAAATGAATAACAATTATAAATATATCATGAGTCAATCAAAAATTGGTCTATCAAATGTAATAAAACAATAAACAAATGTTAAATCACTTAAATCTAATCAAAATCAATATAGTCCGTAACATAACATATCGAAACATAATATCAGGATCCCTTATAATTAATGCATCACGGAGAATCCCTGTATAGTGGGACGCAATTCGGGTATATCTTTTTTACGGGGCGCAACGAAGGTGCACCGCGTGTACCGTCCTTTTAAAAACGTTATTCATATAAATACGAAGGACGTATTTTTGACGATTTCCGCAAATTACAGAAAGGTAATGCAAGAGGATAATAACAGAGTACACCCTGTTACTGGGGCAGATCAGCTTATCTGAGGTTATTTCTACAATGGAATGACGATCGACACGATACACGCCGTCTTACAGAAACTCTCGCCCGCGTGCCACCTCTAAATAACCTAACGGGGATCGTGCGGCGGCGGCGAGCATTCGTGTATATGTACGTCTTTGAGGGGGATATACCCCCGCCCCCATACACCCTATAGAAAATCGTCACTCTCGCACGCCTATTATTACGGGCTTACACGGCCTTTGCGCGCTGCGTTCGTTAAACTCGCAGTTTCCGACGCCGCGGCGTTAAATCGTCATAAAAAAAAACAAGTAAATAATATGTACCGATCGCGGACGTCACGCCATCAGCCATGAAATATAAATTCGACGGGCGGGTTTTGTACGTGTACATAATATACGCGCCCGAGATATTTATTATTCGTTGCGCGCGGTATACGCGCGCATACCGCGCAGGGTACCCACTCGAACATCACGATTGTTTACCGCCGCCGTGCCGCATTTTCACGTATTGCACGGAAGTTTTGTTGTAACAACGTTGTAATACACGCGTATCACATTATAATATATTAATTTCGATTCATCGTTTCGACGGGGCTGTATAAGTATGTATGCCCGAGTTGCCTGGCCATTATATTTTTATTATTGTCATTATATACCTGTATTAACTGCGCGTGTATAGTAAATAATGATAATAATATTTTTATTAAAATATACGCGCCCGTAAATTGCCGCGGGGGCAGTAATAGACGAGCGAGTGAGTGAAAAGCGATCGGCGGAGGGTGCAGGGGTGGTTAATGGAAATTGCCGTTCCCGCGCGATATTATTATTTTGTGTGTGTGTGTGTGTGTGTGTGTGTGTGCGGGCGGCGGACGACTAAAGCCCGACGACGACGACGAAGTTATTACTTGTATTTTTATTATAATAATATTCTCGTGTACAGTTGAATACACCGCCCCGTGACCGAACACGGGCGGAATGGCATATAACAATAATCGCCGTGGCGGCGAAATATGTTTAAAAATGCATTGAAACAACGGCGATTGCAGCGTATACGTCCAATACCCGTAACTACCTGCCTATTGCAGCAGACGAAATGCTCGTTTAAATAATTTAACAATCTGTGTTGTGTCATTACAGTGTGTATACATTTATTATAGGTATACACTATACGTACGATATTGTTATTATATACTTACGCTGCAGCTCACAGCAATAACCATATTTGTATTTATTACATTATAATGTGCAAGTACTCTGATTTACAGAAACAAAGGCTCTGCGATATACTCACGTGGAAAATCGAAAACAGGCGGAAATAAAAATGTAAAATAATGGGGACGGGTGCAGCCACTGGTGTCGGTGGGAAGTTGGAAAGGTAGGATATAGACGGGAATTTAATGTATATCTGTAATTAACGATAAACCATTGCTTATGAAAAGACGATTCTGAGCGGAGATAGTTGACTAAGCAACGGATTGTTGCTTACAGATATACATTAAATTCCTGTCTGTATACTACCTTCCTAACTTCTCACCTACAACAGTGGCTACACTCACGTGTGAAATTACCCGTCTTTAACTAGCTATTGATTGTACAAGTGAAAAATAAACTATTTTTAATAACGAAGGGAACAGAATATGCCTTAGCTCTTTAAAAATATAAAAAAAAGTTTTCGAATCAAGACAGTAATGTGCTGTGTATGATTTGATTATTTTCATCAACCATACAATAATATGACGTAAATATTATTGACAAAGCAACACTAATAACCGAACATCTCTCACAATCATTTTGCTTTAGCAATGGTTAATCGTTGCGTACAGATATACATTAAATTTTACCTCCACCTTCCCAATTTCTCACCTCACCTACAACAGTGGCCCACCCGTCATGTAAAACATGGTGTGAAGTATGTTCGTATCTTTTTTTTTTTAAACATGCGTCCGATCCAAGGAGAAAGGGGAGTCCAGGCCCTAAATCTGAGTTTCGACACCGCATTATGTATTATGCTCTATTGCGTTAAACGCTTCATATAGTATAACCAATACATTCCTCTGCGCTCAGAATCTAAAATTTGGCTATGTATGTATTGTTTTAACAAATTATAAATAGATTACACATATTATATATTTTATATGGGTGTTTCAAAACAAACATGTATATAATATTAAAGTTTATTTCTATGTATATTTATTTATACGTTTTCTGCAACGATTCAATTTTTGTACATTATAAAATCTTATTTTAACGCGTATTTCGGAGCGCGTACAATTATTTAAAATTTTAATGGTTTTTGTATATGAAGTATGACGGTAATTTTTCTCTTGCGGGTAGATATTTTAATATTTTCATTTCCGCGTTGATTTTAATTAGAACGCCGCCGCCAAATCGCTTATATTTTTATTAAGTGTATACGAAGTCGGAGGTACTCGTAGTAATTTTAATATATATATAGGTATAATGTATAAACACAAAATGGTTTTTTTTTTTTTTTTTTTGGGATGGGGGCGGTATAAAAGCTTAAAACTTACCACTCGCCCTCCTGTAGTCGCTGCAACAGACACTATCCCCCGCTCGGCCGTGCAGCTTACCTCATCCACGATCGTTACGCGCAGTGGAAAAACGCTATTCTCTCTTTCGCGAAATTGTAACGAGTAATTATCGACGGATTACGCCGAGCACTCCGTCCACGGGGTCAGATTAACCCTCTCCTCCACTCCCCTCCGCTTATAATTGTGTGCGGCTCCTACGCCACTCCCCTTCCCCCCTCGCCATTCAAAAACCGTAGCCCGCGTCGTCGTCATATCGTATATATGTTCGCATGCTCGGCAGTAGTCAAAACTGTGCATCAGTTCTCATCTCCTCTGTCGGTGTCGATCGCGACTCCCGTTTAATTAATTTCGCCTTTTCGGCCTTTTCGCGCACTAATGATTCGTCCCCGCCGCCGCACTATACACGGCACATACGGCCCAGTCCCTTTTTCAGTTCGATTCGGTTAAGACGCACCCGAGGAGAGTGTAAAGGACTCCCACGGGACGGGCGGAATTCGTCCGCATTATACGTTCACTATCCGTGTTTATAATGTTTAGTATGTTACATATTATACAACTCTTACTATACATTATCTGCATGTGTGCCTACATACAAGTATTGTAAATAGGTATTATAATCGGTGGTTCAAGTGAGGGACACAGGAGGAAGGCGAAGTACCCCTTCTTATTTACGCTGAAATTATCCGTCTCCTTGAGTTTAAGGCAATTTTTCAAGTCAATTATTGTAACTATGCGTACTAAAAAAAAAGATTTTCCTGTAATCGATAGTAACGATAAATACCACGACTTGAGATTCCAATACAAACGGTAAACTGAACGTATTCTGAGCTAAACAAAAAAAAAAAAAGATGCTTTTTAGTAAAGTTTTTATACATAGTTTTTTTGCTCCTTCATTGAAGCGATCATAAAATGCAAATTCCTATAATTGCGTGACACTTGACAAATAAAAATTTGTTATTATTCGATTTGTATTTCACGCCGAACAGTATAACCGCAAATTAGTACGTTTTGCCATCGTTAGTTTGATATCCATTTCGCGCTAAAAAACACTGATTAAATTATTAGAATGTAGTTGCCACTCTATACTGGTGTACCAGTATACCAGTATTATTGTACTTAAACTTCCTCTTATACAGAGTGTTTCACGATGATCTGACACTTGAATAAGCCTTTGTTCTATTCAATATTTTAAATATATATTTTTTTTAAATTATAATAATTTATTAGTATACCTCTGCACTGTACAGTTAATATATTAAACATTTTTTTCAGATTAGAGATCTTAAAATAAAAAATTTAAAATTTAACTTTAATTTTTTTTAAACTATTGAAAATGATTTTTAGAACATTTTTTACGGTTGAAACTTTTGTGTAGATATCTAAAGTCTTATTTTCTAAAATATTTGGAAACTTTTGCAAATATATTATTGTGGTTTATAATACTCAGCATTTTAAAGTTTCAACCACCAAAAATGTTCTAAAAATCTATTTTAAAAATGGTTTTTTTTAACAGAATTTAAAATATTTTATTTTTATAAGTTTAAAAAAAAATCATAAATATTAAAAATGCCGAATAGAACAAAAGTTATTTCGAGTGTGAGATCATAGTCTGTATAATATTTGGGTTTAATAAAACAAAAATTATAGTTTTAAATTATAACTTATAATTATTATTATGTATTTTTGTTGTTGTTGTTGTTTGCAATTTTCATTATACTGCAGGAAAATGACATTAGCGAAAATGGATCAAAGGTTTCAATTGATCAGTCATCATAGGGACGATAAACACACTGAACCACCAAGAGCGCTCAATCCAGTGATCAATAATTCAAAATCGAACAAAGTAAGTACATCGAGATAATTTACTTGTGCCTATCTATAAAATATCCCGTCGTATTAACTCGTTACAAACATTATTATCGCGTAGTTATTTTTTTTATAAACGGCGTATTTATTCAAACGTTAATATTGTGTACTCGCGAAGACGTGAAGTATTTCTCGGAGATAATTTGAGTGTATTAAACTGTAAGGTTATAAAAAAATTAAAAAAATGGCATGGAAAATAATTTCTTTAGGGTTATTGTATTATATTTATTTAGAAGTCATCGAGTGGCGTGGATAAATGGTCGAAGGGAGCCGACGCGACCTTTTAGTAGGGGAACAGCCGTTCCGGTTCGGGAGGTTTGCTATACAACGAATTTACGACGCGAGTAAATGACAATAGCTTTATCCTTATTGTGTATAAAAAAAAGTCACAATACGTTATTTTTCATTAGTTTCGTTTAAATATACTTAAAACGAGCATCGTGTCGGTATAGGAATGACGACGACCCACTGCCGGAACTGTCACACACTGTCAGAAACAGAGAGAACTAGGGGATTATTACTAGGAGCTGAATGGCTCCCACTAAACTATGCAGAGTCCGCCAAATAAAAAAAAAATAAATAGTTATTACATTTGACTATATCGACGTAGACAAAAATCGAATGAAAATCAAGAACTGGGTTTATTCGGCTAAAAGTCATAATTTTTTAGTTCTTATGATAGGTTTCACTAAGTCTCGCAAAAAAAAAAATTCAAAACTTCTACCGTTCCCGAAAAATCGGATAATTATTTTTGTACGCGTTTTTCTGCACGATTCATTGAAATAGTTTTTTCCTCTAAAGTAATACGGTACTGAATTATTTCGAACTTTCACAGTACATTTCAATCAACTGCTTATAAATAATATACGAGTATATCCTTCGATCGAAACTGATTTTAGTCAGATACCTGAACCCTAGTCGTGATATTAAAGTTGCATTATATTTTCTCAGATCTATATGATTTACGCGTATAGATCAATCTTGCCGTATGAATGCAACAAATCACCTGAGCAGGTTCTGTTTTGTCTGTCCAATCAGGTGGGAACGGTGATCCTGTACGGGGTGCCGATCGTCTCGCTGCAAATGGATAACCAGGAGCGACTATGTCTGGCCCAGATCAGTAACACGTTATTGCACCGGTTCAGCTACAACGAGATCCACAACCGACGGGTGGCACTAGGCATCACGTGCGTCCAATGCACGCCCGTACAGTTAGAGATGCTTCGCCGTGCGGGCGCCATGCCGGTGTCGTCGCGTCGGTGCGGCATGATTACCAGACGCGAAGCCGAACGGCTGTGCAATTCTTTCCTGGGTGACAACACGCCACCCAGGCTGCCGGAGGACTTTGCGTTCGCGGTGCACCACGAATGCGCCTGGGGCTGCCGCGGCTCGTTCCTACCGTCACGATACAACTCGTCTCGCGCCAAGTGCATCCGGTGCTCCGTGTGCGGCCTCTTCTTTTCGCCCAACAAATTTATATTCCACTCCCACCGGACCGGAGCCGGGGCCCGGTACGTGCAACCGGATGCGGCCAACTTTAACTCTTGGCGCAGACACATGAAGCTCAGCGACGACCCGCCGGACCACGTGGTGCACGCCTGGGAAGACGTCAAGGCCATGTTCAATGGCGGGACGCGAAAACGGGCTGTGTCCAGACCTTCGCCGCCGTCGTCGCTACTGCAACAACAGCAACCGCCACCACTGCAACAACCTCCGTTACTACAACAACCTGCGGCGGTTCAGGTGCAGTCTTCGCCGTCGTCATCCCCGTCGTCGTCTTCGGCCATGCAGGTCGTGCAAATGCCTCAGCCTTTACTGCAGCAACAGTCCGCCACGACAGTCCATCTGCATCAACGGTCCTTGCGGTCACCGGAACTGCAAAAAAAACAGGCACCGGTCCCTGCAGCTGCAGTTCAGGTACCGTCCAACATGCCGTTGCACCAGGCAATGGTCGATTACGTGCAGTGGCAACAGCGAGCCAACCCGTTTGCCGTGGCCGCGGCCGCGGCGGCCGCGTATTCTGCGGGCGGTGGTTTGCCATGTTGGTTGCCCAAACTCGATCTGGACCCGCATCACCATCATCACAGTGCTTTGGTCAACAGGAGCGCCGTAGCGGCAGTCGCGGCCGATTATTCTTCCGCTTTCCGGCCCGTTTATCCAGTGACCGTGGCCGCTGCTGCTGCCGCCGCGGTGGCTGCGGCTGCAACCGTCACAGACGACGATGACGACGGCGGCGGTGGATGTGGCCCGGATGACGTGGACAATATGGACGACATGGACGATGACGACGATGACGATGACGAGATCGACATTGAGACTTGCCCCGACGAACGATGAGACACGGGACACATGACGAGCGTACAAATATAGTTTACGTTATTATTTATTTATTTATTTATTATCGATCAATATTATTATTATTTATTATATAGGTACCATATTATATATAATTATATATTACGCAAGTCTCTCGGAAACGATACCAATTATTGAGTTTGTAACGCGAGTTTTTTGTGGTACACCAGGGGCAAAACTTAAATATTATTATACGTAGGCGTGTTTATTAAGTCATAGAAATTCTTCGATATTCTTTGTGGGTTCAGGGCTACAGCCATTTTATCCAATTTGCATTAATTCGATGTAGGTGGCATTGCGGTATCGGTGACTGCGGCGATTTTTCCACGAAAGACTTGTGGCGCTCGCATTTACACTGTCCGTTTCACGCTAAGCTGTGATCGCACCTGCCTGAGTCCTTGTACGTCTCGGGAGTCCACGGGCCGTGGCGCGTCTCCGACAAATAGGTGACGTCATCAAGATTTCTCGCTCGAAACGTACGCTTTGGTAAAGAGAACCGCAACTAAGAATGTCGTAGGACAATCGCTTTGACCATTCCATTTAATTTTGACGTGACACAGATGTAGGTAGAAGGCTATACGGCTGATGGGACATTAGACAATGCACCTGCAGTGTCTTTAAGCGACTCGACTTTCTGACGAAAAGGCACACAACGTCGGTAAATTATTGAAAAACCATTCGGGATAACGAACGGTGGGTGGTTTGCGTGATTCATCCACGCTGAACCGATTGAGGTAATTTCTAACATCAGCCGTTTCATCTAGCCCCCCCGCTTAATCCGGGTCTGTGTTCTTAAAGTACGGTTATAAGTGCCTGTTTCCACGAGTGACCACATTCAAAAATTAAAAAAAAAAAAAAAATAGTTTAGTTAAATAATAATATGGAAAATGTACATTAAAGCATTCCGGTGCGTTCCTTTTATTTCATCCGATGTTAAAACCTCTCTCGTAGAAACTGGTCCTTTTCAAATTTTTAGCTATGACCAAATCTGAAACAAAAACGATTAAATATTTGGCGATGATAAAACGCTATTTATTTCCCCAGTTTATGCGATTTACAGTGATATTACGCGATTTGTCTCGTTTCCAGTAGTTGACATCATGTTATAGAAATCACCAATATTATAATAATGTATTAGTGATACGATTTTGAATTTTTTTTTTTATCGATTATATTTCACCGTAAATATAATAATTATATTATAGATTATAATAATTCGTATTGCACTTTATAATCATTGTTTTTTTTTTTTTTTTTTTAAAATTTATTATTGTAATTACTCTTTTTTTACAAATTGTAGGTGCTCTGAATATCTTGTTGAATATTACCTACGTTAAATCATAATAAACATAATACCACCGTATTTCGATATTGCTTTGACTAAAGTGCTTATGTTATCATGATAAGAGAGTGATGACCAACTTGAGACCCGTTTTCTATACACGGTTACTTATACCTAGTATGCCCCGCGACCTTACCACCTACGACCTGTCATGGCCAATGGGCAACTTTTCTAATAAATCTCGGGTGTGTAATCGCTTGCGCTATTCACTCAGTCCTCGTGGTTCACTCGGTCGCCATTGATATAGTCGTGAAATTGTGCGTCCCGTGAACTAAATGCAATATCTTTATTTATTTTATAGTTTCTCGAAATGAATTGTACACTAACCTGTTCCGTCCTACGTGCTAATTTAATTAACTCCGGTATCCGGTGTAACCGCGGTTATATCCATAGACTTATAAAGTCTAGACGGAATATCCACCCCGAGAACTGGGAGGCGTGGTCGGCTCGAATAGATTAATAGTGATTGATACTGATATAAAGCCTAGTGTGAGAGAGAGCAAATTTACACTCTGAAGACAGCCAATTAAATACTCCGTTTATTATCTCACGTAGTTATGTGTTTTTGTCCTCGAAATGAAACTACATTCACCGAAAAGCGTTTTCATGCTGAATGATCCGTCACACAGATAAGTCTATGGATATAGGTAGGTCCTATATCCAATAGGTTTTCCAATCGATCTTTGATGGTAGAGTGTTTATAATTTTATTAGCGGGATAAATACGTTCAGCGGAGGAAAACATTTTTCGAACACGAATAATATAAAATTGCCTTGATTGGGCATCTTCGCATCTAAAACTTTTTGTATTGTACTATATGTTAGAATCCATGTTCAATATCAAAAATGATTTTATTTTTATTTTTAGCGAAAATAGATACGCGATTGTTTTGCAGAATTGTCTATGAATTGTGATATTTAGATCTTCTTGACTGTTGACCGAGTTTTGAATTAAATTACGAATTCGGATATTTTTCATTTAATATTGTCATCTGATTATAAAAATATTTATTGTTTAAATGTGTATACTGTCGATACTGTATTATTTTTATTAGGACTTTAAAATATATTAATATGTATGGTACTTTATAGTATAAGAATGATAATTGATAGATAATATTACAAATCATAGTGTGTATATTGATTTTGTTTTATATCATACTCATTTACATATTATTAATTAATATCATTATGTATATCAATATATCATACATAAAATATATAAGTATAAATTCAATAAAATGTTTTATTTTTGTAATATCCTATGATGCTATTTGCAAACAATAAACAATTTTATAATTTACGGATCTAAAAGAATGTTTTCCTCCGCCAAACCTCTCGTGAATTTCTTGACTCGACATTTTCTTACACTCTCGCACAAGCGCTAGTAGTCTAGCCGATTTAATTCAATTGTCATTTTATGCCAATCTCATAATTGGTCGATGGGCTACCGCATAGTATCTATAATCGTGTACGTAACTAAGGTAAAAGTTAAAAAGAACAACTGTCCACCACTCTCTTATTATACAGACACTCTAAATTGGAAATCTTGGCGGAATATATTAGTTATTATAATAAATAGCTGGCAATAATAATACTACGTAGACTAGATGTATGTACTATAAAATATAATGTTATAAAAGTTATTAAACTTTTCATACATACTTATGTACAATAATATTGTGTAATCGTTTCGATGTCTTTGTTGTAATATTTATAAACTATTAAGTAATTGTGATGTCTATAGTCCCCTTCTCTATATATTTCTAGCAATCGAGTGTACGTCATAATAACAATTACGATAATAATTTAGAAAATAAAACCCCGTTTTTTTTTTTTAAATTTGTTATTGTATTATTGTATCTACAACTGCACTGTATACAACGAGCGTATATTATTATTTAAATGGAAACGGCAACCCCCTCGGACGGGTGGCGATTGGAGTGTAAAGGAAACCCGAGACTGACGTGTCGTATAATTAAAAGACGATCCCTAAGGGAACGTTCGCCGGCTATAAGGTCAACGGTTGACATTTCGCAAGCTGTTTTTAAACGTCGCTTTTAAAGCGAATCGGAAACGGTCCCGGTCGGGGAATACACCGAGGCTACCCAAATCGGATTACATTGGGTTTTATTTAGGGAAAACAATTTTGTATTATTATTTTATTTTTTATTATATCTGATATTTTCACATCGTCGTGTCATTTACATTATATTGTGGGTGTCTGCGTATTACAATACGTTTTTTCGATTTACGAATTACCTAAACAAGTAAAATGGATGCTCAAAACTTCCCATCGTGACTGGCAAGTAAAATAATTATTTAACATAATGTACAATAGTCAGACATACTTAGGTAGGAATTTGACCAAGAATAAGAATGAGGGTGATTTATAAAAAGGCTCATATACTGTTGATGCATGTGCCACTGTTTCAGGAGAAAAATTGAAAAAATGATGTATAAACTAATTTAATTTATATAATATGTACGCAACAATAACGTTAATGAAAAGCGATTCTGGGCAAAATATTACAAGTCGTATTTTTTCTTTTGTCGCCAAGGTAACCTAGAAATCAACAAAAATTATATAAACAATTGTCGGTTTTTCGGATTTATTAAGAGGAAATTCTTACTACAAGGAAAAAAAATGACTTCTTCAATAATGCACCAACTCGATCCAAAATACTACAAGAAAGTTCCTAAAAAGTTTTCGACTAGAGTAATATTTTTGGTAAAAAAATGCAATTTACCGACACAGTAAAAAAAAAAATCACATAAGTAGTAAAACTAATATGTATCTCGTTTCACTCTGAATCTAAAAAAAAAAATTAGGTTTAATTGATTGGCCTAATCGATTTTTCCAAAATTATTCAAATGTGGACCCCCTACATTTATAAAAATTAGAATTCAAAATTCCTGTTTCACGGGATTTTCGGTTTCCGAAAAAATAGAATAATTTCAGATGTTCTCGTGCTGCCTATACAATAAACATGTATACATTTTGTCTAAAACTGCAGCGGTGTATTGTCAGTTATGTATTTATTTTTTTTTTTTAAATATTTTTATATAAAAACTAATTTCGGGAATCTAAGAAAACGTGAGTTCGCGCGTACAAGGTAGTGACCAAAATGCACGTTAATATAAAAGGCTGTTGCCACGAAAAAGGTCGTGTCCAAATTGGGCGTAACACGTATCTATCAAAAGTGGACCTTTCCCTTTTCCACTATTATTCGTTTCCACCAAATGTACCTTCCTCTTTTCCACCAATACTCGTTTTCACCAAATGAGATATATGACCACGTTTCCACCAAAACAATTTCTATACTACGTTCATATTAAATAATGTAATACAGTAATAAAATATACAACATAATATGGAAAATATTAAATTTTATTTGTCTGATATACCTATTTATTGATGGATATACGATGAATAATATCGTATACACACACATAATGTTGTACATTGTTAAAGCGTTATTATACTTTGTACTTATCTTTTATGTCGATTATATTGATTAATATTTAAATTTGACAATTTTTTTTTAATAAATTATGATATTTTCTTCATTAAACAATATACTTATTACATAAATCTATACCATATATCATATTTTTAAATATAATTGAACATTTTCTAACCTGTATGATATTGTATATTATAATATTACACATATTATGCGGCCAGGTTACACGAACAATCACTAAACATAAATTGAATCAGTATAGTGAACTAAATAATATGGTTTTGGTAGAAACTAGTACCATCATCCCAATTCAGTCCGTATCCTGAAAATCGTATATTTTTCAGTGTAGCCCACAAAAAAAAGTCGTACATTATCTCCTATATCCTTGTCCAAATCGGAAATCGAAAAAAAGTGAGATACGACCTTTTTCGCTGCGTCATATACGCGTTATGCGTTTTATTTATATACATATATATATATTATTTTTTTTTTGGATGCATGTGTACACGAATCAAAAACTGCCGCAGAGGCGAGACAATACGAGTCATGTCCGGAGATCGGTAATAATTAATGGCGAATCGTAGGGCTGCGGGGCACGGTGGGCGGCTCTCCCGTGCAGTGTTTATTATTCGGATTCGATTTAATCGGAGTTTATCAGCGGAAAACGCAAACACGACAACGTGCACACAAAACCATTGTAATTATTATTCGTCTACAAGTTTAATCGGACGCTCCGCGGAGACTCGTGAATATTTAACGAGCACGACATGCCGGGACCGGCCTCGGGGAATGCGTGCCAAAGGTTGCGCGCACGAACCGGCGCGGGCGGCGGAGTGGATTGCCGCGTATTGTTATTATATTTCCGCATGCTTGCCGTCCCGCCTCGCCACCGCCGCCGCTTTCGTTTTTCGCGTTTGCAAAACCTGCGCAACGTTTTTTATGCGCAGGTTAAACGGAGTAGGAACAATAAAGCTGGGGAGGTATAGTCTAAAGAAATAACGGCCTGGACGTTATTCGCGGAGAGATATTATATTTTGTATTGCAGTGAAAGCTTTGTTATAGAGTCGATAGGGCAGTATTGATGGATACGGGAAAACATAGCAGTACATGACGAGAAAAGTGTCGGATATTCTGATCGTATCTTTCGTGCTGGATAAAGGTTAAGGGGACGAGAACGAGTTTAAGACACGATGCGTTTTTTTTACACACACATTTCATTGTTGACCATTATTTTCTCGCGTTCAAACTCCCAAAAACAATATTGTTTCGCGCTCAACGTTTAAAAATAACTGTATTTTAATAATAAAGGTTAAGAAAAATTGTATTAATATTATAAGAACAATAAAGTATAATAGGTTGCCGGACTAAAATAATATTATGATAACAACAAAAATCTCAGAACATTCCGAACCTTTTTACATAGAACAAAATTAATTTTTCATTGATTTTTATGAAAGTGTTTCGTGGTTAATACTTAATATAATAATAGTGTACAATAACTTTCCACCATTGTATGAATTATTTTTAAACAAAAGAGTATAATCTTTAATTTATTTAAATGTGTTTATTTTCAATTAAATATAGATCTTTCGATTAAGGTGAAGTTAAACAAATGGGTTTCACAAATGTTATGATAATTCGCGCGTATAGCGTATTGCAAATTGAAAATCAAAGTAAATCCAAATACCCTTAAGTAAACGGATCTATAAAAAAAAAAACGTATCGCACTCAAAAAGTTTAATATTATTAGTAAATATTTACAAAAAAACAAAAAAAAATAATAAAAAATAGGTTGGTAGATACTTCATAAAATATTTGTTTGTACTTAATGTGTAGACAGGTATTTATCGATTAATTTAAGTGAACTACGGTGTAAAACAAATATAATTCGATAAATTGTGTTGAATATGTCACAATAACATATTATGTGAGGACCTATGCATTATAATCCAATATACACAATGTATTTAATTTGAATATATTGCCTCAATGATTATTTGTTAAATAAAAATTAATATTTAATGTTAAACTCGTTTTAAAATTTTTTTTAAAAGGTTAATACTGCTGATGGGTGTGCCAATAATTTAGTAGGGTAGTAGAAGGGAGGGTATGCATAAAATAATTTAATTTATATTTGTACTATTGCTAACGAAATGCTATTCTGAGCAGAGTATTATTAGTCGAATTCGTTGTCTTATTGCCAAGGTAACCCAGAAATCAATATAAATTATACAAAAAATGCTAGTTATTAGTATTTATTAGGAAACTAAAAAAGAATATTAAAAAAGAGCTGGTTCTAGGGATGGGAGCGGCCACTGTTGTAGATGAAAAGTTGGGATGGTAGGATACATAAGGTTATTTCAATTATATCTGTAAGCAACGATAAACCATTGCTTGACGAAAAACGATTCCTAGCGCAGTTCGGTAATACATAACTTGAAGTGCCGTAATTTTTTGCAATTTTTGTTTAAATTTGATTTAAAAACACTTATTAAAAAAAAAAAAAGTTGTCCGATGATTTTAGAAATTTTACCACGTTTAGGTAAGTCCAATATAAGTATTATTACCAAGTTCCCAGTTTCTATGTGTATTTATACCGAATTACACCAAAAAACAAAACATTAAAATTCCTCAAAAGCTCAAAAGTTTTGGCGATAATACCGTAAGAAAATAAATCAAAAAGGTGTTTTTTGATTAAATTATTATTTCTGGTAGAAAACCTCATCCATGTTTTTATAAAATAATGATATCGTGAAATTGTACGTTTTCCTACGTTTTTTCTCACTTAAGTGCTTTTATTTCAAAAATGTCGTCGAAAATCTAAAAATGACCTCTCTTAAGTATAATTTAAACAACTGAGTTTTCAAAAAAATTGCTACACATAAAAATCGGAGCTAGTTTATTAGGAAAAAACGTGTCTACAGAATAGAAGAAAAGAAAAGAGAAAAATAAACACCTTAGTAAAACCAATAGCTCCCTCGCTACGATCGGAATCTAAAAGAATTTTCTCAATGTACCATACCAAATCGAAAATACTGCAAATTCCTTTAATGTTTTCGATTGGATCAAAATTTCCGGTAGAAAAGTTGTTTACAGACCCAAAAAATACACACACACACCATAGTAAAACTATAGTAGATACATT